CGGCTGGACAAACACCTGTCAGGGATGCTCTAGGCTGATCCTGCATTGAACAGGGGGTTGGACTAGATGGCCTGTAGGGACCCAACTCTGTGTAATTCTATGTTGTTTAGATCATGACTACACCAATATAATTTTGTTTTCATCTGTATGCTCTATGCCATGGCTCAGTGGCAGAGCATCTGCTTGGCATGCAGAAGGTCCCAGGTGCAATCCCCGGCGTCTCCAGTTGAAAGGATCAGGCAGGAGACAATGCGAAAGACCTCCGCCTGAGTCACTGGAGAGCCACTGCCAGTCTGAGTAGACAATACTGACTTTGATGGACCAGTGGTCTGGTTCAGTATAAAGCTGCGTCATGTGTATTCATGTGCTAATTACTCTTTTCTGGAATAGTCATGGGTGTATCCAGCCAACCAGTCAATGGGATGATGTCAGAATATCACGTAGCCAATAGGATTCTGCTGTATGCTGAGACCAGTGATGTTCTGGAAGAGCATAAGGGTGATCTGCAGGGGTCATTTCGTAGAAAAAGAGGTGCAGGAGCTCATTAGCATAACTCATTAGCATAACTTATTTGCATATGTCACACCCCCTGACATCACTGGAAGTGTGTCAGAAGGCAACACCCACCGCCCAGGCTCCACTGGACTCTTTTGGATTGCTAGCTATGGGGCGTGCAGATCTGTCCTCGCAGAGGAGGGAGAGCTTGTACCTGAATAAACCTCGGTCTTAAAGGTGCCACTGGACTGTTTTGCACCGGGGGAGGGGCCTCTGCAACGTACCTGGCTGCTTCTTGCTCTGACTGAGGGCTGCTGGGAGCAGGGGGTGGGGCTTGTTGCATGTGCCTACCCCCTGGGCTCTTTACTGCCGGAGCTCCGCTCCTGTGCGCTCCTGCAGGAAATGACCCCTGGTGATCTGACTGAATAATCAAACGTTTGGTGGGAATGCAATAGAGGGCCTTTTCAATGGCAACCCAACAATTATAGAACAACCTCTCCAGGGAGGTACACCTGGCCCCCTCACTTTTGATCTTTAGGAGGCAGTCGATGATGGTTTTATATTAGGACCATATATGATTACGTACTAAGAATCCTAAACTGTGATTTAATTTTTAATGTGTTTTATTTATTCTATCTCTTTTGTAAACCGCCTTCTTTCATAAGAAAGAAAGGCAATTAATGTTTTGAATGAATGAATGAATGAATGAATGAATGAATGAATGAATGAATGAATGAATATTTTCCACAATGATTTTTGAACAGTCTTGAGAATAGGGAGACTTTCTTTTTTTTGGAACGTCTTGTGGAAAAAAAGAGTGTAGTTTTGATTCACCTGTGGTTTCATGGCTGGATAAAAGTCATCAAAACACATACACACGTATACACTGTCTTCATCTTTCTTGCTGGATAGGTTGTGACCCTAATGTAACTCGTTGATTCCCTCTTCCAGAACATTCTGATCTGATCGCCTCACAGACACCATTTCTTTGATGTTGAAGACACAGACGAGAGGGCCATGGATGTGAAAGAAAGGAAGCCGTACCGATCTTTGACCAGACGCCGTGATGCCGAACGCCGCTACACCAGTTCCTCAGCAGAGAGCGAAGACAGCAAAATACCTCAGAAGTCCTACAGCTCCAGTGAGACTCTGAAGGCCTATGATCAGGACTCTAGGCTGACATACGGCAATCGGGTTAAAGAAATGGTACACCAAGAGGCGGATGAGTACTGCCGAACAGGTCTGTTCCAGAGCTGGGGAATGGGTTTTGTTGTTGTTGTTGTTGTTCAGTCGCACAGTTGAGTCTGACTCTCCGCGACCCCATGGACCACATCATGCCAGGCCGACTCTTTGTGACCCCATGGACCACATTGCACCAGGCCCTCCTGTCCTCTGGAGTTTGCTCAACTTCATGTTCGTTGCATCGATAACACTGTCTAACCATCTCATCCTTTGCCATCTCCTTCTTCTTTTACCTTCAATCTTTCCCAGCATCAGGGTCTACTCCAGTGAATCCCAAGATGTTGATGTTCAGTCTTGCCATCTCATTTTTGACCACATCCAACTTACCTTGATTCATAGACCTTACATTCCAGGTTCCTATGCAGTATCGTTCTTTGCAGCATCGGACTTTCCTTTCACCATCAGACACATCCACAGCTGAGTGTCCTTTCGGCTTTGTCCCAGCCGCTTCACTCTTTCTGGGGTTACTTGTACTTGCCCTCTGCTCTTCCCCAGTAGCATATTGGACACCTTCCGACCTGAGGGGCTCCTTTTCCGGCATCATATCGTTTAGTCTTTTGTTACTGTCCATGGGGTTTTCTTGGCAAAGATACTGGAGTGGGTTGCCATTTCCTTCTCCAGGGGATCACGTTTTGTCTGAGTTCTCCGCTGTGGTCTGTCCGTCCAGGGCCCCAAATTTTGACAGTTGTACTAATTTCTTGTGGAACTTTTTAGTATACAAAGTGACAAGAACCGTACTTCCATAGAGGGAATGAAATTTAATTAAGTGTCTTCAGAGCTGAGCAGGAATTAGAATCTAAATGAGGTCCAAGCTAGATGATATGTTTGACACAATTCGGTTTAGGGCTCACCCAGCCTGACTTGGAGTCATACGTGCTGTCAGAGAGCTAACATTCCCAAGTACTCTGGGTCCCAATTCCACTTGGGAACATAGTATGGGAGGACAAGGGCTTCATCCTTCTCTCCCATGTTGTTTTCTGGAGCTGAAATGGCTGTAATTTGCCCCACTCCTTCCGATGCAGCATGTGGAGCCCCCCAGCAGGGCAAACAAGCCCCTCCTCAGGAAGCATCTCTAGCCCCCATGCAAAATTACTCAGCCGAATCAGGCCCCAGCACGCTTGGAAACCCTAGTTTCCCAATGGCAGATATGACTGCCGGTTGAGTTGGGGGAACCCCAACCTGACTCGTGTCAAATGAATTTTCTCGTTTGGCTCATAGTAATAGGAAGTAATTTTAAATTGGGAGGTTCAGACACCAGATTTGTAACAAGGACCCCAGATCTTCTTCAGATTGAACTCCCACTGGGAGAAGAAGAAAAGGAAGAGGAGGAGGAGGAGATTATGATAATGATGATTGGATTGGTAAGAATGTGCTCATGGTTGAAAATGTAATGTGAATAACATGATGGTGGCCACCTTAGGGGGGGAGGGAGAAAATAGAGGGGGGAAAGTATCAAAAAGTTGGAACTAAACTGTAATGTAATAACAATATTGGGATACAATAAAAAAATTGGGGGGGGGGAGATAATGATGATTGGATTTATACCCTGCCCTTCACTCGGCATCTCAGAGTGGCTTACAGACTCCTTTCCCTTCCCCTCCCCACAACAGACACCCTGTGAGGCAGGTGGGGCTGAGAGAGCTCTTTCGAGGACTGCTCTTGAGAGAACAGCTCTGACAGAACTATGGCTTGCCCAAGGCCATCCAGCAGGTGCAAGTGGAGGAGTGGGGAATCAAACCCGGATCTCCCAGATTAGAGTCTGTGCACTTAACCACTACACCAAACTGGCTCTCACTACACCGAGGTGGCTGATTGATCAAAAAGGTTGATCCAAAATGGATTCATGGTTGTTTTCTAATACAGCCCAGTCCCAAGCTTTACAGAATGTAGAAGTTGGTAGGGAGGGTTATGAGGAACATACACAAAGGATGCATCTTTAGCAGGCCTCAGACTTGGGACTCTGGACAACCTGGCACCAGCGTTCCCTCTAAGCTGAGTTAGTGTGAGCTAGCTCACAGTTTTTTAGCCTCCAGCTCGCACATTTTTGTCTTAGCTCAGGAAGGATGGCTCCAGAGCAAACTCATTGATGCAGGCGCCAAATCGCTCACTCACCACTTTAATGCCAGCAGCTCACAAAGTAGGATTTTTGCTCACAAGACTCCACAGCTTAGAGGGAGCATTGCCTGGCACACATTTGCAGCAGCATATTTTCAACAATGGAGAATGTAGTTTCTGTCTATCTGCTTTCTCTGTCTATCTTTTCATCCTGCCCTTCCTCCAAGGAACTCAAAGGGAGGGGAAGAGATCCACCTGCCCCTTTGAAGGGAAAAGACCCACGTCCCGCATTGTGTGCTGCTCTAGGCATTTCCCAGATCTCTACAGTAAAAGCCATAGAGATCAACTATAGAGACTTGGGGATCTCCTAGGGTGTCACACGGCGCAGTGACACCACTTCCGGGCGCTGGCCCAGAAGTGACATTGCAGCACCACCCGACACTGTCCCCCCCTCCCTTTTTTTTTTTACTCCTGCTGCTCATTTGTACAGCGGTGGAGACTAGTGGCGGGAGGTAGCCCGCCGAAAGAGGCAGCCTGGCAACCGTACATTTCTACAATTCACAGACTCCTGCAGGCTCTCCCCCTGCCCCCTTCCAGACAGTAGTTTTCTGTGTCCTGTTCATTCGTCTGAAGCTGCTTGCCGCTGTGAGGGTGGGTTGAATGGGACTGGCCACTTCTCTGTAAGAAGGCCCTGTGGCATTCTCCGGATTCATTCATCATATCCTCCCTCCTTCTTCTCGCAGCCAACTCCGTCATATTGGCAGAACACGGGAGCGCCAACTGTCCCCCGCCTGTCAATGCCGTCAGAAACCTTAATCTGTCTTAGTTAATTAAAAAGGCGTGAAGTTCACCCCTAGATCCTCTGCCCTTCGCATAACAGACCACAGCTCTGAGAAAGGACGGCTATTACGGGGCGTATTCTTAGCATCGAGCAATTTCTTCTCGGCCTTTTTGTTTAGGGTTTTCACCGCGTCCCCTTTGTCTGCCGGTTCCCTCGGCTTCACGGGGAGCAAACCGAGTTAAGCAGCTATCTCCCCAGGTGCAGAGGGGGGGAAGAAAACTTTTATACTACCAAAGCTGCTTGTGCTGAGCGGCACATCCTCCACACCTGCATTCTCGCAAAAGCCCTTACCTGCTGGAAGCGGCTTTGTGGTGAGCCAGCTCGTCCACAGGTGTGACCTACATAATAGCACCGGCTTAGAAAAGTACAAAAGTCTTAGCCTTTTCTAGCTTAAGAGTAGAAATCTGCTGCTCAGACCTTATCAGGAACATGCAGCTGCCGCAGAAAACGGTAGCCGTGTGTGTAGACTCTTCCCTCTCTGTTCGACAGTGTGTTGTCAGACCCCCCAGTCCAGTTACACTCAACAACTCTGTCTTGGCAGTGATAAGTTTATTGAGATGTATGCAGGATCCAGAAAGACATTGTGTTAGAACGGAAGACTTTTGGCAGGTACAAGCTTGATAAAGATAATTGGAATAAAAGTCCCTTCCTTCACCCATGCATACGTCACATTCACACCACGCTAACCTCATCTGTTCTGATCTTGGGAGCTAAGCAGGGTTGGACCTGGTTATTACTTGGATCGGGGACCACCAAGGAATCCAGGAGTCCTAGGCAGTGGCAAGCCACCTTTGTTCATCTCTTGTTTGGGGGTCTCTATAAATCAGTTGCACTTTGACAGTACTTTCCACCACCACAGAGAGGCACAGCTTTGGTCAGCATCAAAGGATAATTATAACTATGATCTTGGTCCTTTCCGCACTAGACCTTAAATTCTGGTTCAACCCTGTTCCTGAACTTACATTCTACACCACACGTAAGTTCACCCCTGTAATTATCTCGGGGCATTTTTACAGTCTACACTGCACTCGAGTTCACCCCTGTCATTATCTCGGGCTATTTTTTGTTTCCACATTACATTGAGGTCACCCCGGTTTCTCCCCACACTCGTCCCAGGATAAACGGATGCTGCCATAACCAGGGATAAATGCAAGGTATTGTGTCGCGAGTTGAACACTGATAAAACCAGGACTGCGATCCAAGTGCAGAAAGGACCCTTGGCACGCAAGTTTGGAAATTTTTCATCTGCAGCAAAAGATCCTTCACTATACTTTGATTGCAGCTCAGGCAGATCCCATAATTTGCTTACGGGGCATGAAGGCTCACGGGCTGCTGTTTTGCTATCCCTCAATGAGATGGTAGGATCATTCCCTTTCTGTATTTAAAAGAGGTGGAATAGATTATCCCCAGATACTTTTTACCTCTTGTTGCTACATTTTATCAAAATGGCGGAGAGCAAAAAATAAAAATGTGAATTTAATGGATAAATGAGGCTTGGAATAGAATCGCTAATTGGTCTAGACAGCTTGCTGCACAAATCTTTTGGAAGGGAGTGAGAGAGAGGGGGGGAGCTAATATTTTAATGTTTGTCTGTGCTGCCTTGAACTGATTATGTAGCTCTGTTGGTAACGAGACGCCAATCCAATAGTCATTTTTTCCCCAGGTAATATTTTTAGCCCGCTAAACAATCGCATCTGTTCAGCAGCTGAATGGTCTCCGCTGTGACCTTATCAGAGTGGAAAATGTCAAGTGGGTCGGTGTCTAGGTGGACGGCCTTACATGCCCACAAGGGATGGGTTTTGTGCGATTCAAAAGGCGGTATGTTCCGTCAGGATGTGGGGCTTGCAGCTGTGCTGGAATGCAGTGTGCGAGAGAGGCCACGTCGGGCAGGTGAAGAGCTTGAAGAGGACATAAACAAGTTCTCATGACCACTTCCCTGCGTGACCAAACAAAGCCTATGTTCCTTCCACTGGGGTGAGCCAGCGTGGTACAGCTGATTGACAACTAGCCTCAGATGTGGGAGATCTGGGTTCTAATTATTGCACAGCTATAAAAGGCGCCCAACTGTATGCGCTCATGTGTCGAAATCCTCTAGTAACGTCAGTATTATCTCTACTAAGACAATTTTCTTGTTCTTCTTCCTTCAGGGGCCAACTTTTCTCTGAGGGAACTGGGCCTCGAAGATGTCACCCCTCCACATGGGACTTTATACAGGACGGATATAGGGCTGCCCCACTGTGGCTACTCCATGAGTGCTGGCTCGGATGCAGACACTGAAGCCGACGCCATTATGTCACCGGAGCATCCGGTGAGGCTCTGGGGGCGCAACACCAAATCGGGCCGCAGCTCGTGCTTGTCGAGCCGGGCCAACTCGAACCTCACCCTCACCGATACCGAACACGAAAACACCGAAACCGGTAAGAGACAGCACCAGGGTGGAAAAGGGGTCACATCTTGGAGCTTCTTCAAATGACGTCTCTATCCGTTTCTTGTTCGATTCCGTTTCTTTTTAAAATATATATATATATGTAGCCTGTTTTTCGTATTTTAGGACATTTGACTTGAGCGAGAGATGGTGGAGCAGGGGAAAGGGAGGGATGACGTTATTTTAATAGTGAACTTTGTTCCGTGGTACTGAATATTCAGAAACGAACCACTGAAGAGGTTCCTGAAATTCATCATGGGGAGGAAATACACTAGCCTTGATACTCCTCACAGGGGCTCTTCAGACCAAAAGAAGAAAAGCGTTTAAATTTCACCCTATCAAGCGTTTTCTCTGCTCTCTTTTCCCCTCTCTCGCTTCCCCCTTTATCTCTCAAACTGATATTCTAGCAGATAATTTCCAAACCCATCCTGACTGACTCCCGCCGCTTATGTAAATAGCCTCGGCTGCTCTCTAAAGGGAAAAGAGGGTGACGGGGGAAAATATTTTTAGAAACGTGTCCTTTATGAAACCTTGAAGGTTACCGGGATTTATTTTTTTTTTAAATCTCCTCCACCTCATCTCTGCGGATGTCTTGTAGTCACGGTGCTGTCTGCTAACTGGGCCTTTTGGGTCAGCAGTTCGGTGAGGAAAGAGAGCGAAGCCTCGTGTACAATTGTCGCTTGAACCTGGTGCGTTTAAGATAAAAGAAAGAAGCGCCAAAGATAGCAGCCGCGAGCGACATATGCCTTTACACCTTTAATTGAATAGCTTATGCTTGCTGGGTTGTCTTAAGATAGATGTGGTCTGTCGGCCACCAAGGGATGAAGACATTGTCTTGAATATTCGTGTTAAAATATCTCAAGCGTTCCCCGTTCAGCTGCTTCCTACCGGGTGGTTGTGACATATGGTGATCTGTTTGGGGGGGGGGGGGTTGGGTGGTTGCATCGGTATTTGAAGCCTCGCGACATGGTTTGGTCATATGCCACCCGCTGCGTTTGCTGTTCGATTTCGGCAAGTGATACCTATTAAGCTTCTGTTCCGCGATAACAAATATGTTACACAAGGATTTTTTTAAATACTATCGAAAAACGAAACAATCGTTCTTCCACGAAACGGGGAATTTCTTTAGCCCAGGAGTCCCCAGTGTGGTGCCAGTAGGTGCCATAGCGCCTGCCAACACCTTTCCTGATGCCCGCCAAGTTTTTTGAGAAAGTGGGCTGGGCTGGGTAGGGCTTGTGCCCCGCAGGGCTTCTGACTGGCTGTACAGATTAAAAGGCATCCTGTTAAACACAGCTTCTGCCTTAAATGCTGAAGAGTTACTATGACAGTTATGCATAACATTGGTCCCTGACATTTTGTGGTTGGCTTGACCTCCTGTGGAAGCCGTTTTGTTGTTGTGCCCACCACCCTGTATCAAAATTTGAAAGGTCCCCAAAATGTTGGGGACCCCTGTTTTAGGTTTAGTCTTCTGTGGCTTTGACCCAAAAGGCTCTGCCCCTTCTCAGGTGAGCCTTGCTGAGTGCAGCAATTACATAAGGGAACAAAAGAATATAAGAGAAGCCATGTTGGATCAGGCCAGTGGCCCATCCGGTCCAACACTCTGCTACACGGTGGCCCAAACCCAGGTGCTCTCAGGAGGTCCAGCAGCGGGGCCAGAACTCCAGAAGCCCTCCCACTGTTGCTCCCCCCAGCACCAAGAATACAGAGCATCACTGCCCCAGACATAAGAACATAAAAGAGAAGCCATGTTTCATCAGGCCAGTGGCCCATCCAGTCCAACACTCTGTGTCACAGGGTGGCCCAAACCCAGGGGCCATCAGGAGGTCCACCAGTGGGGCCAGGACTCCAGAAGCCCTCCCACTGTTGCCCCCCCCAGCACAAAGAATACAGAGCATCACTGCCCCAGACAGAGTGTTCCATCTAGGCCTTGTGGCTAAGAGCTTGTAGCCGCCACCACTTCCTGCGGCAGTGAATTCCAAGTGTTATTTACTCTTTGGATGAATCTAGATTAGATTACTACAATGCACTCTTTCTAAGTGCAGTCTGTGAAGGTGTACCTCCCAGAGGCATTTTCCAACACCTTCCAAGTAAATTTCCTCAGGAACTGCTGTCAGCTTAAACTCTCACTGTGCATACCCAAGTAGTAGGTAACTCCACCGCAGGCCATTACAGTCTAGTAATGTAATGTACAGTCTTTTGTTCATCCCCCTCTTTCCTACACAGTCTCTGGCACTGGTGGTGAAGCATCTCCCAGCCAGGGTCTTTTCCTGGGCCCTTCTTCAGTATGGTTCTGTCCTGAGAAAAATGCAGAGGTGTCACAGGGTAGAAGAAGAAGAAGAAGAGATTGGATTTCTACCCCGTCCTTCACTACCCAAAGGAGCTTCAGAGCGGCTTACAAACTCCTTTCCCTTCCCCTCCCCACAACAGACACCCTGGGAGGTAAAAGAAGAAGAAGAAGAGATTGGATTTCTACCCCGTCCTTCACTACCCAAAGGAGCTTCAGAGCGGCTTACAAACTCCTTTCCCTTCCCCTCCCCACAACAGACACCCTGTGAGGTGGGTGGGGCTGAGAGAGCTCTTGACAGAAACTGCTCTTTTTTCAAGGACAGCTGTGCCAGAGCTATGGCTTGCCCAAGGTCATCCAGCCAGGTGCAAGTGGCGGAGTGGGGAATCAAACACGGTTCTCCCAGATTAGAGTCTGCACACTTAACCACTACACCAGAAACTCTGTGGTCTTACCATTGAGTTTCTGGCAATTCCTAGAGCTACCCTATGTCACTTCCAGGTGTTTAGCAACGAAGCACCATAGCGAGCCTCAAAGCCTGCTGTGTCCCTGTCCACAACCCTCCCGCTGATTGCCAAACACTGGCTGGCAGCCCTACCTGGGGCCCTTTCCAATTAGTTCCTCCTGGAAGTGTGTCTAAATTTCCATAGAAACAATAGAAAATGGGGGGGGGGGGTTGGTGGGGAGTTGTGGGGGACGCCATAGAAACAATAGAAAATGGGGGGGGGGGGTTTGCTGTGAGCTGGTGGTGACGCTTTCTCATTTCACTGTAATAGCTTTAGTTGCGTGATAAGAGTAAGTTGTCTTATTCATGCATAGGTATACAATGTGGAGTATTTAATGTAAGCCACTTCTCAGGATCCCCGAACTATGGGCCTTCTTCAGACCAGTTTAGAAGAATCGTTAGCCAATGAAGGTTTTATTTATTTATTTCATTTATGAATTTAGAGCTCTGGGTGATGTACGGGAGCTGTGTTCAGCCACTTGTGAATTGACTTTGTGAACAGAAAGAATGACTACAAACTGAGATGTGACAAAGACTTTGGTCGAAACGAACAGCTAAAATCTCGAGCAAGTTCGTCTTGTTGGGACTTCGGTCTCTGGATGTGCAGCTACTGAAACAAAAAGAATATGTATTAAATTACTAATATTTTGCATAAGTATATTGAACTTGTTCGGCAACTTTTTTGTATTGTTCTACACTTCCGGTGATGTCAGGGGGTGTGGCATATGCTAATGAGTTCCCCTAGCTCTTTTTCTACGAAATGACCCCTGTGTACAATGCAATAAAAACATTCAAGAGCCAGTTCGGTGTTGTGGTTAAGTGCACGGACTCTAATCTGGAAGAACCGGTTTTTATTCCCCACTCCTCCACTCACAGCTGCTGGATGATCTTGGGCAAGCCATAGTTCTGTCAGAGCTGTTCTTGAAAGAGCAGTTCTCTCAGAACTCTCTCAGCCCCGCCTACCTCACAGGCAGTGTTCCCTCTAAGCTGTGTTAGTGCGAGCTAGCTCACAGTTCTTTAGCCTCCAGTGCACACATTTTTGTCTTAGCTCAGGAAGGATGGCTCCAGAGGAAACTAATTTATGCAGGAGCCAAATGGCTCACCCACAACTTTAATGCCAGCAGCTTACAAAGTAGAATTTTTGCTCACAAGACTCCACAGCATAGAGGGAGCATTGCTCACAGGGTGTCTGTTGTGGGGAGGGGAAGGGGAAGGAGTTTGTAAGCCGCTCTGAGATGCCGAGTGAAGGGCGGGGCATAAATCCACTCTCCAATCTCCTCCTCCTCTTCTTCTTCTTTTTCTTCTTCTTCTTCATCATCATATCTTGTCAGATCTTGGAAGCTAAGCAAGGCCGATACTTGGATGGGAGACCACCAAAGAAGACTCTGCAGAGGAAGGCAATGGGAAACCGACTCTGCTTCTCAGAGGGAGCAGGCCATGGGCTCAGTGGTAGAGCAACTGGTTGGCATGCAGAAGGTCCCAGGTTCAATCCCCGGCATCTCCGGTTAAAGGATCTGGCAGTAGGTGACATGAATTGGGCAGGGGGTTGGACTAGGTCGTCTAATTCCCTCTTGAAGCCGTCCATGCTTGTAGCCGCTGCCACCTCCTGTGGCAGTGAATTCCATGTGTTCATCACTCTTTGGGTGAAGAAGGACATCCTTTTATCCATTCTAACCCGACTGCTCAGCCATTTCATGGCGCGGAGGGTGGACTCTGTGGCCTTGTACCCCATTGAGGTCCCTGTTGTCCTCCGGCGCCAGTCCCAGTTCTCCAGATGTTTCCCAGCCCGGAGCTGGCAACCCTATCCCCCCCCCACTGGTGGCCAGAGGGGACATGGCAACCTAGGTCCCCAGGTAATACACTCTCCACACACACTATTGGCAGTGAAATGCTTTATTTTATTTTTTAAAAACAATTTTATTTGGATATAACATCAAGTCAACCAATATAACAATTTAGCATCCATCTTATATCCTTTTCTCCCCCTATCTCCCCCCTTCTGGCTTCCCGCAGTGCTCCCACCTCCCTTCCAAATCTTCTATTTTCTTCTCTCTTCTCCCCACATCAATAATTAAACTTATAAGGTAACATTTCTTTAAATATTATTCTTACACATTTGAACTAACTCTAAATATCCTTCTAGCTCTAATAGTTATCAAAGCAAAATACAGGGGTCGTTTCGTACTGCGATCCCCCGCGATCC